TTAATAGTCTATCGGTTTTATATTTTCATCTTTCATTTACACAGTCTGCGTCACATTGTCATGACCTTAGTGTTCTGTCCCATCTGTAAGCCAAGACCTATTGGCTGTTTGTGTCGACTAGCAGAATCTATAAATATCAGATGTAATAGAGATTAAAGAGGAATAGTTATAAAGTGATTAGTTATTGTTTGGCTATACAAGCTGCATTCTAAAATTACCTAGAAATTTGTTATTGTATAATCACAAGAAAACATGGCCAACGTATTCATATTTCATGTGTATTACATTTCAACAAGACGACAGGTAATTCTTAAATTTCAAAAAACAATAGCCCAATAAATGTCTTAAGAGTTTTTGTGTGTTTTTTTTGTATTGCTAAAATTATCCCAAAATTTGTGATTGCTATAACAAGAACTAAGCCGGCTTATTTACATTGATGCGTTTTACATAACATCAAGACCATAAGTAATTCTACAATTTCCTTGCATTTGGATGTGGGAGGTGGGGGATTGGGGGGTTGCCCTCCTAAAATAATTCTAACAACCGACCAATTTCATTACTGCAGCTAAACACCATACTCTATTGCCCCTCCAGATATATTACTTGTCCGAACAAATCAAAACGGGCTAGCTACGAGCCTGTTATTCTGAGCCCCTGTTTCAATACTTGTGGCTGATATAGGTGGGAGGTTTCTGATATATGTGAACATGCTTAACAATCGTTAACCCAATTTCTATAGTTCACACAGTGCTCGTTTACCTTTCAATAATTTGATTAATTGATCTATATTCAGTGCGGGACCATTCTGACACTAGTCCACTACAACTGTGCGTATAATAATATTATCAAACATTAATGAGCTATGTCCCCCTTCTTCTTTACAGGCGATGATGGTAATTCGAAAGAATTTGTTATAATGATTTTAACATTTGTATGAATCGTGTGTCAAATACTCAATCCAGGACTGTAGTACCATTATAATTTGGAGGTAGCCCTCTATGAGTCGTTGTGTTCTTAGCATGACGTCATTTGCTTAGTTACGTCGATTCCGGCGTACGGGAAACATCAATACCAAGAGGTCTGGTCAAGGACCAGCTGCTGGTAAAAAGAATCCCTGTGAACCTAAGTTGTTATCCTTGTAAAATGTTTGTTTGTTCCTTTCTTTCTTATAAGATAAATAGAATTAATAACATTTTAGATATGGTCGTAATTAGGCCCTAACCCATAATTAGCTAGTATTTCCATCTGTTTTAGTAGCTAAATTTTGACACAGAAATCACACAGGCCTAAATAGGCCTACATTTTAGTATTACACTAAAGACAAAAAGCAAACCCCACCTCTAACACTCTTGTTCGCTCTTAAAATGTGTTTATTTATCAAGCGCCATTGATTGTCGTGTCATGGTGCTTTCAGACAGAATACATATTTCAAAGCCTTTCTATTAAATTCTTTGACTATAGTCCTCTCAAGCTAGTTGTTTGATGTGGTTCCTGGTTCATTAGGTATATAATTCAATATAAAACAGTCTATATATGTCTATTGCATGCTAGTTAAACTACAAACAAGTTATTTAAATTAAAAATCGCAGGTTGCTGTATACCATGGAATTGATGGAATTGTTTGTTTACTGTGTGGTGCAGGTCATCAAGACATTTGATATTATAGCCGAATAAAGATATTTAGATATTCAATATCTTAGTGGAGTTGACATTTAAACATCTTGTGGAATGACTCTATACTGAACAACCTTCCTGGATAATTTTCCAGCTTGGCTTTTTTAACCATTGAGGAGTGATAGTAGGAGCTGAAGGGGTTCGGGTGAGGCATCTTCCCTGTCAAGCCATGATGTAGCCACTGGAGATGGTGAGTCTTTTGGTGATAGTTTCAATTGCACCACTTTAACCTTTTATATGGTTGTAACGGAGAACTCCTTGTTAAATACAATAATCCTATACCTCTTTCATCTTGGTTGATTTGTTTGGTCAGGCATAAATTGATCTGGTTGTATCTCATTAAGTTGAACTATATAGTAATGGCGGGTGTCGCACGCGAAGCAGACCATGCTTACTCTTTCCGAAACACCTAATGGAGAAGTGCAGTATTATACAACGTTAACTCCCGATTTTGCCTTTCTTTCGACGAGATTTTTTGATTGACGGATTTAACCTAACCATGCGTCAATACCAATTGTTAATTCCATATCTTTTTTTTGAATTTTCGCAATATTTGTTTACTTTTTACTCAATTTCCTACATATTATTATCTTATTCATTTCCTTGTAGTATTTACTTTTGTTTTCTTGCATATATGTGTATGTATTATAGAAGTATATTTTATTGTAAACCGCACCTCGGCACTCGGGTGATAGATGCGCTAAATAAATACATCTAGATAACGATGATAATAATAATAATAATATTTTATCAACCATCCTAGCAAATATAAAAATAGTTCCGATGGGACTCATTATTTAAATAAAATATACATTATCAATTTCAATAAAAGAGTACAAAATGATATAAAATGTCAAAGTGCCATCGAACTCAGCTATGAACGGTATCATTATATCACATATAGGTTTTATTACTATCAGAAATCAATATGAAACATTCAGATCTATCAAACTTTTTTTAAAAAAAAACGTTCTTAAAATAAGACGTATTATGGAGCTATATAGTCCGTTTGGTGCTGATGCTCCTTAATGCATTTTAAGTCATTTCCTTTCTAAAAAGAAGATTCGAAAGGATAAACCGCTTCATTATGTTTCAACAAGAGATACATTTACAATTTAGATTGGGATGAAAATTAAGGAAAGCAAGATATGTCAAAAACGAAACATGCACGTAGAAGGGGCTCCCAACCCACTTAAGTCCAAGACCCCCAAGAGACATATAGTCTACATTAACTATCAGAAATAATCTGTACCCTCTTTGTGTTATTTAATATTAGCTTGATGCCTGAATATGGCTACAGGATATTGACTAAAAGAAAATATGTCTTTAATCAATCTGTTAGATCAATGGATATCGATCTGATTAATTCATAATAAAAATAAATAAACTCTCATCAAAATCAATACAAAATAATTACATCGATATATTACTGTCATAACACATCGCTTGAGGGTAACTGTACTAACGGGGTGGTTTATTATCAGAACGTAAACAGAGGGTGACTGAACTATCAAGATGGTCTATTATCAGAACGTAAACAGAGGGTAACTGTACTATCGAGGTGGTCTCTTATCAGAACGTAAACAGAGGGTAACTGTACTTTTTTAGAAGGGTCCCTCAACAGACCAGAAGTGGTGGAGGGATCTCCTAATAGAGCGAATGTAGTCGAATGGTCGATCGGAAGGGACATAATGGTCTCTGATCAGACCGGAAGTGGCAGAAGGATCTCTGATCAGACCGGATGCGGTAGAAAGGGCATCATTTCAAAAGATAAGGAGAAACATTTCGAAATAGAGATAGAGGGGCTTTTATTAAAGCGCCCGAGGACCATTCTGCATGAAATCATCGGTAAACTTCTCGACGTTCCTTTAAAAACATTCCTTTTAATCATTCCTAAAGGGCATTTCTATTAACCGTTTTCTACCGACTAACTACTTAGTTCTGAACTGTTGGAGTTAAGTGAAAGGCGCTAATGGAATATTTGTTCTGAAGAATGGTTTGTCGACACAGTCAGTGAAGCACCATTGTTTCTTATTTACTTGGTAATGGTTTTAGAACAATGTAACTCTAAGCTGACATAAGATCAAGTGTTTTGCTGTGATGGAATGGTCGAGAGCTTTTGTTTCTGTTTAATGACATTTGCTACTGAGTTTTTTGAGAACATAAATATTATAAAACAAGTATATTTGTAGTATTTTTTGCTGGACTGTTTCAGTATCTTTCCTGTTTATAATCAGGGTGATGTTGACATTTATATAAAAAATAGGGATATAAATATGAGAAGAGAAATAATTATTACGCTCCGCTTTTTTATTTGTTTCGTGTTTTTTCTGCACGAAGGAAACACTTAGATCTTCATTTTAATCAGACTGATTCTTTTGCAGATTTTATGTGTTAATTGGAGACTTCTGCACGTTCGGGATACATCGAATTAACCGGACGTTCAATAAAATTGGAACAGAGTTCAGTACGCTCCACGTGTGCCGAAAAAAAAGTCGAATTAAAAATAGATGTTAGAATGTGACATTAATCTGGTTTCGTCCCTTTGATTGGGGTCAGAATTGGAACAAATGGAACCTGTTCAGATCTTGTCAATAGAGCGCCACCTATGTTAGGTCTGTCAACTATGTTATGAATGACTTTTTTTGTGGTGTTTAGGTAGTAAACTTGGTTTCTATCAGAGGTGCAGATCCATTGGTAAAGTTTGGTAGCTGATAGAGAAGTAGTCCGCTTTCCCCAGTTCGAGTCAGAAGAAAGCGCAGCCATTCGTCCCCGTGAGCCTAAGGCTTCGTGTGGGTTTAAGGTAGCCTCTCTCAGAAATATTTGACCGCCGAAAACGCCATTTGCGAGTATTTCAAGAGTAAATTCGATGAACTAGATATTAGGTTCTAATATGACATTTTAACAAGATTCATGTTGACCAGATTGAATGAATTTTAACTTGTTATACCTGTGAAACTTGATCATTAATAAAGTTGATATAGTATACAGTATTCCACAAATATTTTCGCATAATTGGGGCTAGGTATGAATCATATAACTGTCAAGGAGGACAAACAGCACCAGTCTACATATTCTTTAAACAATCCTAGCGCTAGAATATCCCAGAAACAACGTTATGACTTACGACCCTAGGACATCCTAGCGCTAAGATCGTTTTGAGAATACACTGCCAGGCATTTAAACAACTCAATGATATGATGGACCCTCTGGATAATAGAAACTGGCATTAGATGAAATGTAGTCAACATGAGTTGTGATATCGTTTGTTTATAAACTATAATTGTTTATATATTTCAGAGCCTTATAAAAGATGAAGCTTGAAAATGGGTTGTGACAACAGTAAACAACAGCTACAGCCAAATATACCTGACTCTCAGGAAGAGGGAACGATCGGGTTCACTGAGACCCAGATTGATACGATCAGAAGCACGTGGCCCTTATTGTCGAGGAACATGGTGCGAGTTGGTACGGATGTGTTTGTAAGAATATTTACTGAAGTTCCGACGGTGAAGGAGTTGTTTAGTAGCTTTAAGTAAGTAGAATTCTCTGTTAAAATCTAATGGTAGGTGCTGTGATTGATACCTGTCAATCAAAGAACACAAGGTACGTCTCATACTACTCCTGGGTTTTGACATCTTCACATTGTCAAGCTATAATGAATTGGGCTTAATACCTTGACTGTAATAGCCACTATTCTTGTATCACATAAGTTTCTAAATGCACCGATTTGATTGTACGCTAGCGAATACCGAAAATTCCCTAGATTACATAAGCAGCCATATTTACAGTCTTTATGTCGAGGGCTCTAATTGGCTGTATTCGTACTATCCAATCAAATCGATGAATTTGACATTGCGAAAATGGGTTTCGTAACGAAACTTTCGTTACCCACGGCATTTCCCTAATTTACCCAGTAATTGTGTTCTCTTGCGCTAACAACTTACCGACTGTGTAAACATTAATACTTCGCTCTAACACTGGCTTTAGTGTCGTATACTAGGCAATTAGGTGCCGTGGGCTAGAATCTTCCTCAAGGTGATTCGATAGTTAGTGACGGTAAACTGATGTAAACTACAGCACTCAAATTTGTGTAAGGATAGCATTGTAATTTCTTTAAATCACAACGCGATAAACTTCTTTATGGCAGGGGATTTATGTCATAAGTAATGTACCTATTGCAAAATTGATATGTCTTATTTTTAAAGTAAGTTTTACGAGTTAAAAGGGAACGCGGTAGAAACGTGATAATTTTTTGGACGTGTTAAAGATAAGATAGTAACAATTATATACCTTGCTTTATTCGTTTGATTTTTAACATTGATAATTTAACCCTCGACATAATATATTCTTACATTTGACATTTGACATTTGACACTTGACCTTTGCAATAGATACATAACAATAGTAATATATATTACACAACACTGACTTATGGCACAGATATCCCTCCATACTTCGCCTTATTTCTTATGAAATGCTAGACGATGTATCGTGAGGCTGGAATATTGTCATTATAAATTTATTAATAAATGGGTTTATAATGTAATAATAAACCTTCTCGTAAATCAAATGGTATAAATAACCGGGAAGAATAAAACGCCTACATAAGGACTTGGTGAAGATAATATATCGACTTTGGCTTTTGGGATCGGATTCGTTTTCAGTGGGAGAATCAATTACATTTCAATTTTCCCAGTCATCAAACTAGCGTCATTAATTGTATCGTCATGAGACCAGAGATAAAAACGTTAGCTGGTTGAAATGTCAATGAGTAGGCGATATATACCTTTATAAGCTGCAGAAATTAAACTGTATTTTGCATGCTGAAGTCAAAATCGATTTGACACAGAAAATCCATCTTCAAATTATCAAGGTTTTACGGAACCGTATAATACCTTGGCATTAAAAGGCACTTTTCTTATATCATGCAAGTTTATGATTTGACTGGATTGTTCTTCAGCGAATACAGCCAATCAGAAAGCTAGAGAGAGTGTAAACAATGCGTATAACTAATAGTTCCCGTCTGCGTTGTGCACCTATCATATGATTTTAAGAAGAAAAGTGCTTTCTGATGACAAGGTATAAGACAAAGTTAGTAATCACGAAACAAATTACCAGGTCGGTAATTTAAACAGATTGATATTCGGGCATAGGAAGGAAGGACAAAAAGGGGCGGAGCAATGCAAATGTTGAATACTGCCAAAGACAAATTGAATGTTATCGAGAGAAATTGAATCTGTCTTATATACAATACAATACAATACAATACACATATTGATATAGCGTCTTATCTTAAATACCCTAAAGCGCTTTACATAGAATGAAATCATTTAAGACATCTAAAAATCTAAAAATGATAAAAATCTAGAAGATCAAACGATTAAAAACTATTTAAAAAGACGGAAAGTGGATAAAAAAGAAATACAAAGCATTAATTAAATCAATTATCGCAGGTTAAACACATAGTGTAAAAAGATATGTCTTTCGTTGCGATTTAAAAGCAGAAAATGTCATTACGGATCTAAGATGTATTGGAGAGTCATTCCACAGTGTAGCGGCAGCCATGTCAAAACGTCGATCCCCATACGTCTTCGTTCGAGTAATTGGCACTATCAAACGCAGAGTCGATTCTGAGCGCAGCGAGTGAGAGGGCGTGTAAGGTGTCTCAAGTTCAGTCAAATACACAGGTGAAAGGTCATTTAGAGCTTTATACACATATAGCAGGATTTTATACTTGATCCGATATTCCACAGGGAGCCAGTGTAAGCCGATCAAAATAGGTGTGATATGGTCCGACTTTTTGGTACGTGTAATAACTCGAGCAGCAGTATTCTGCACACGTTGGAGTTTGTTGATCAATTATTTATGCGTGCTTGTCTCAGAAAGAATAGGCGATAAGGACTGTAAGATTTTGGGAGATTTCACCAAAGGATGATGGGAGATTCTCTTGGGTAACTAATGAAATAAACAGTCGCTCGCTAACCTGGCTAAACATGTTTTGAAAGCTGTTCAATAAAAATGATAACTGCACAGACATAATTATAATCCGCGGGAATATAATCAATACTTTTTCCCGCCGTTATAAGAATCAAACCGGAAATAGAATCCATTTCATATCACCATGAGGTCCATTATCCCTGTGATCAAATACCGACCCTTGACATTTAAGAAAGTGAATGTAAAGTAACGGAAATGATCTTCTATTTCGCTCTACTTTTATTTTTTCCACCATTACAATTTACGACAAAAGTAGTGTATAGTGTTTTATGATGTAACACAGTTTATATGACCGTAATGAAATCGGTTTAGATCGAAATTAGAACGATAATAATGCTGTGAATAATTGTCCTTTGATTTCTGTATTGATAAGTTTATTGAACATTGTTACCGTGATTTGCTTGTAAAAGTGTGAATGGAATCGTGTCAGGAATCATGATGCACAACACGTGTTATCACTTCTATTAATGCATCGATGATTCCATGCCGCATACATCGGTTATCGTACTTAAACCTGGATTACCTGAAAGCTCAGACATGTAGATACGCGGATTCATATGAATGAATATGTGAATGGCTTCTCACTTCTGATAAATTGTACCTTTTTATCATTTCAGTATAGTTGATGTCAATGATCTACACAAGATGCCAACGTTTCGAGCTCATGCAGAGATGTTTATGCAAGTGTTACATTTGGTGGTTGACAATTTAGAGACACCGTATAGTGAACTCAATCACGAGCTAATGGTATTAGGTGCTCGTCATGCTACGTTCAGTGGTTTTAAACCAGAATATTTTAAATTTTATGTGAAATGTTTGATACAAGTTTGGGAGTTGGAACTTGGTGAGGAATTCATACTGGAAGTGCGGGACTGCTGGAAAATTGTTTTCGATTTCTTAGTCGATAATATGACAGAGGGGTATGAACTTGCTCTCAGAGAAAGCACAACGAAACATTGCCAAAATGGTGTTAAAACATTGACTGTCAGTGACAATGGAAATTCAAAATCACAAAACGGGCATATGACGTCGCAAAACAAGCGCAATACGTCACCAAATCCTGCTGTGAAGAAAAACAAGAGTGCGTGTATAATGGACAAGAATAAAAAGAACGATACTCTGTGTGAAGTGAAAATAACCTAACTTTCTTATAATGTTTTATTTGTTTATCTTATTTTAAATTTTCAAATCTCCTTGTTGTTGATTTTATAGTAGACAATCACGAAAATTCAAATCTGGAAAGGGGAACAGGTGCTTTAACATACAGCAAAAATAATTGTTGGCCTCTTGGACGGTGCCCAGCCCTGCGTTCATTTAGCAAATCCTTCGTATCGGTTTTTTTTTTTACTGAATACGCCATATGAACAGTCCTTCAGGTGTATGGTCTGTAAAACGGTTTTCCGAAAATGTCTTGCCTTTTATAATCACTTTCAAATGTTTTGCTATATTGAGCGCAGAAAAGCAAACTGAAGGTAAACGATTTTTTTTTTGATGCGTACAGCCGACTGAAAGTAGCCATGCCGTCAATCAACGGAAAGCAGCCCCGTCGACAACCAACTGACAGCAGCTCTGCCGACAACCAACTGAAAGCAGTATTGCCGACAACTAACTGAAAGCAGCTCTGCCGACAACCAACTGAAATCATCTCTATCGACCACCAACTGAAAACAGCCCTGTCAACAACCAACTAAAAGCAACCCCATCGACAACCAACTGAAGGCAGTTTTTTGACAACCAACAGACAGCAGCATCTGAAAGCAGTACTGCCGACAACCAACTGAAAGCAGCCCTGCCGACAACCAACTGAAAGCAGCATTATCAGCATCTGAAAGCAGCTCTGCCTACAACCATCTGAAAGCAGCATTATCGGCATCTGAAAGCAGTACTGCCGACAACTAACTGAAAGCAGTACTGCCGACAACCAACTGAAAGCAGCTCTGCCTACAACTAACTGAAAGCAGCATTATCAGCATCTGAAAGCAGTACTGCCGGCAACTAACTGAAAGCAGTATTGCCGACAACCAACTGAAGGCAGCATTATCGATAACCAACTGAAAGCAACCCCATCGACAACTAACTGAAAGCAGTATTGCCGACAACCAACTGAAGGCAGCATTATCGATAACCATCTGAAAGCAACCCAATCGACAACTAACTGAAAGCAGTACTGCCGACAACCAACTGAAGGCAGCATTATCGATAACCAACTGAAAGCAACCCCATCGACAACTAACTGAAAGCAGTACTGCCGACAACCAACTGAAGGCAGCATTATCGATAACCAACTGAAAGCAACCCCATCGACAACTAACTGAAAGCAGTACTGCCGACAACCAACTGAAAGCAGTACTGCCGACAACTAACTGAAAGCAGTATTGCCGACAACCAACTGAAGGCAGCATTATCGATAACCAACTGAAAGCAACCCAATCGACAACTAACTGAAAGCAGTACTGCCGACAACTAACTGAAAGCAGTACTGCCGACAACCAACTGAAAGAAGCCCCGTCAAAAACCCACTAAATGCTGCCCTGTTGTCAGTAAGTTTGCAAAACGTTTCGTTGCGTTTTGTGGTTTTCTGCTGAATGAGTCTTGATATAATAATAGGATTTTGAAGGAAACACAAACTATCTTAAAATGTGGACAACTGAACGCAGGACTGTTTCAAGGCAGATAAATCTATCAGTACGTTTCTTCGCAAAACAAATTTCAAGTATAAGTTCAAAATTCAATTTTTATATTACAAGGGAGGTAAATCACTCTGGTTGAGCTACAGTTCTTCTAATCACCCGTCTTTGTGAAAAACAGGTTACAGATTGTAAGCAGGAGTATAAAATCCAAAACTTGGGGTCAGTTCATTTAACACAAATATCATAGTACTATACAAGAATATTTGTTGCTATTCACTGATTATGGAATGAAGTACAGCTTCTAAAGTAATTGAAAAGAAAAAGAGTTTTACTTCTTACTCGTCTTTTCCTGATTGGGCTAATTAAGATTGACAATGCCATTGAAGATACAAATAGGAGGATTTCACCAGGACAGTGGCATCTTACTTTTTTAGGTTTCAACTGTCAAGGGCAACCTCTGTAGCACACAGCTGTATGTGTAGAATGTTCCCGTTAGAATAACGCTGTAGTTATGGCGTAGGTGCCCCCCTGCACCCTATCATATATCCTCTAAGATCCACAAAGGCACGTCACGGCGCTCGGATGCACTGGAGGAACTATTTATTAAACCTCCTCGGCTGCAACGATGAGGTACACAAATTAGTCTGCATTAGTTCCTAAGCTCTAGGTTCTATTGGCCATTGCTCCGCCATCTTAGAACCTTTGCAATAGTACGTCAAAACACGCAATTGGAATTGAAAGAACCGCAGATGTCTGACTAAATTTGATGCTTTCATTCTAAGTTTAAAAACCTCTTTTCAGTCCTTTTTTATCATAATTCCCCTTTCTACAAAGCTTGAATACACTGCTGTATAATACACAAGAGGTTTAAAATAATTTTAATGGACGGTATACTGACAATTACAAAATATTAATAAAGCTCAGAATTAACAGATATAAATTAATATACCGAAATAAATGGTCAAATTGGTTGTATAGAAAGGACGGTATATTGACAAACTATTTAAAAATTCAAGCAGAATGTGTTCAACTTAAGTTATATCTCAAATTATAATACATATACAAACAGAAGGGGAGTCGTCTTTCTGAATCAGTATCTAACTCTGTCCAGTAAAAAACGATCACATTAAAAAGATAAAATCTGGGACAGGCAAAATTAACAAAAATCGTTAATTTAACTTGAATAAACAGTAACGAAAAAGGATCATTATATATTCCCGTTATAGAATATATCCAAACTATCGGCGATTAGGCTAATGCTAATAGAATACCACGTCCAACTAGCTGGTAAAACGTTCATATTCCCTCACTTAAAGACTTTTTTTAGAAAGTTTAATAAAAATTGCATTAAAGTTCGAAACTCTTTTGTGTATCACATTATGTTGCAGCGGATTGGGCACACCAGGGCACGGATTAGATACAAGTAAAAGCAGTTCACTTCATTCTGAGGCAGCTTATGTGGTTTTACATAAAAGAAACGAGCAAATATAAACGGGGAAGGTGCAAACCGCCATTCTTAAGGAATGTTGATATGGTAATTGACATATTAAGTCAAGGAAGAAATTCAAAATGGTTATGAACTACGTCCGTGTGTGTTATTGCCATGTAAGAACCATTCATATGGTCTTTGAATAGTCTCCTGAGCCCCATTTCCCAAAATCTTAACAGAGATACACTCAGATTTTAAAATTATATAGCTGGCTTAAAATTGATTTTAGTGGTTGACCAATAAAATGACTGGAAGGTTAAGAAACATCAAACAGGTCCCTGATGTGCACAATATGTCTGCTCTACTCTACAATAACATACAACGTACATGATAATCTGATAATCCTTCTATAACATTCTGTATCAAAATCAAATGCTAGTAAGGTGTAATACTGCTATAGAAAATGGTTTAAGTTTGTAATGCTAACAGAAACCCAATAATAAAAAATCAGGCGAATGACAAGCTAAATTGTAATATAAAATACATTTCTTCCTTTAATCCTTTTAAGAAATAATTTGCTTTAAATGTATGCTCGAGGAAAACAATAGACTATTATCAGCAATTTGTTGTTGTACCATAATTGGATAACCTAACATGAAAGCCAAATAGAATCTAAGAGGAAAGTAGGTGGAGCTTAGGTATACTACAACATGTTCATTTTTGTTATTGCATGGATGAAGCTCCACCCCTTTTTGAAAAACATCTGCCTTCCAACTATTTTCTATTTCATTGGATAAAACAGTAATGTGATCAAGTTCGAGCTGTCAATCATTTCCTTTATGTTACTCATTAACATTTTTAAACAAACAAACTCATTACGAAATTGAATGGGTTTGTTCGTTTAAATATATCAATGAGTAAGAACCATGGTACATAAACTACTTGGTGCTGATAATGCTATAAATGGAATGCTTTATGACGGAATGCTACGTAAGTGTAATACTGCATTAGGAACTAGACCACAATCCTCCAGTGTTGCCGTATCATCAGTATAAGACCGTGTAGGATACGTTGACATCACAGTAAATTTCTTTCTTATACCTGGCCTGCAATGGAAACATACAAAAGTTTTTAGTACTAGTTTCCAGGCCCGTAAGCTTCCTTCCTGCAATCGACAACCTCCACTCCCCCATTGCCCCTCCAAATATATCACTTGCCCCCCGAACAATTACGCCTGGCTACGGGCCTGATAGTTTCTCAAATCAATGGGAAATACATCAACCTGAAGATCCAGAGTTAAAACCTATCCTATCCTAGTCTTTTTCGGCAAGTTTCACCATGATGCAGACTGAAGGTCTGATGACATGAGTAAAGTGTCTCATCATTCAATGGTGAACTGTCTTTGCTTGTTCTAGATCCTGTGATTATAAATCTTATTAAGATCAGACTGATGTCGCTGCCTTGACAAAATTTATCTCATTGCAGGATATAATCATCTGATAAGTGATAAGGATTGCTGACTTACAGGGATTGTAAAAAACAAGATGTGTATCAGAGACAGTGATCACTATATATCACAGATGCTAATAATAATATCTCAGAGCCTTTGTGATAGTGGCGTAAAAAACTGTAACCATAGGTGGAATTGAGCACAACAGAAATGAAATAAAATGGAGTTTTACGTCCTACTTTTCTGCACCATTGACCACCTCAGAAGTCTGACTGAATACTGGAATGGTGCAAATTGATGCTATTAGTGTAACATAACAAGTTTAGAAGACCTCTTCACAATCTACTTAAAGTAAAATATTTGGATGAATACAATGCCTAATTCATACATCCCTTAAAGCCAATAATGAACGTACCTGTGTTTTTGTAAATACTGTTTTAATTCACCTATAGTATCAGTGAACTTCATCTTAACGATGTAAGTATGATTTCCACACTCTGACTTGATTCGTAATGTAGTTATATTTCTTGGTGTGACTGGACGTTCAGATCTCTTACCATTTTCTTCTAGCCTTTATTATCAAGTACAAAAAATTAACAAAGTATCACCAGAATCATCAAGAATCAAAGTGTACTATCTGACCATATGATTCGATACCAGACTTCTAGATGGGAGAGCGAGCAACTAACTTGCTGTCTTACTATATCTATAAACCATTTGCCGCAACTTTAGCATACATGTGTAATCTACCGATGTTGTCGGGTTTCTAACGCTTTTTGATTGTTGTCCACTGCTCTACCGACGGGTTGACCAATTCTACCGATCTTTTGTTTTTTTCCTGACCAAATTTTCACAGGACCTACCGTTTTCAAAGTCTAATAAAATATCGATCTACTTATATCACCCGTTAATCTCATCACGTAATAATTTTATCATTGCCTAATTAATTAATTTGAAAACAGGAACAGAGCAACTTTTGACAGAACAGAAGATGTAACTCAACTCTACCTTTTCATCATATGTAGTGAGACAGGAGTCTCTACAACTGATACACCTACAGTATTGTTTCCATCTCCCTAAAATATTAGAAAGAAATAGAATACATTGCTTCTGGTCAGTGAGTCATTTTGTTTACTCACACAAATAAACATATATTGAATAACTAGCCATTCTAAAAAGGGACTGTAAGTGTATCGGGGAAAATGATAGCATCAATTTGGATGCATTATGTTTCTAGTATATTATGGGTGTCTCCTACAAAACGAACCTCTAGACCTTTCTTTTCAAACAATCTTACAATTAAGGAAGGGTTCTGAAGCAGAAGAACTGTAGAATACCTTGATATGTTGCCCAATAGAATTTCTGATATCTATAACTTTACCATCTCGTATCACAGATTTAGGTAATTTGTTTAATAAATCATCAACTCGTACAAGTCCTCCTGTAAAATAATATTATATCCCTCCTGTAAAATAATATTATATCCCTCCTGTAAAATAATATTATATCCCATATCCCTCCTGTAAAATAATATTATATCTAGCAAGCATCTAGCTCTCTGAACCACATTAAATCATTCAATCATCCAATGATTCAACCAAATGTAAATTCTATAAGAATACCTGTTATATCAGGTGTATATAAATACTATAAGAATACCTGGTATATCAGATGCATATAAATATTATAAGAATACCTGGTATATCAGATGTATATAAAGACTATAAGAATACCTGGTATATCAGGTGTATATAAATACTATAAGAATACCTGGTATATCGGATGTATATAAATATTATAAGAATACCTGGTATATCAGATATTTATAAATACTATAAGAATACCTGGTATATCAGATGTATATAAATACTATAAGAATACCTGGTATATCGGATGTTTATAAATACTATAAGACTACCTGGTATATCTGATGTTTATAAAGACTATAAGAATACCTGGTATATCAGATGTATATAAATACTATAAGAATACCTGGTATATCAGATGTATATAAATACTATAAGAATACCTGGTATATCAGATGTATATAAATACTATAAGAATACCTGGTATATCAGATGTATGTAAATACTATAAGAATACCTGGTATATCAGATGTATATAAATACTATAAGAATACCTGGTATATCAGATGTATGTAAATACTATAAGAATACCTGGTATATCAGATGTATATAAATACTATAAGAATACCTGGTATATCAGATGTATATAAAGACTACAAGAATACCTGGTATATCAGAGGAATATAAATACTATAAGAATACCTGGTATATCAGATGTATATAAAGACTACAAGAATACCTGGTATATCAGAGGAATATAAATACTATAAGAATACCTTGTATATCAGAGGTATATAAAGATTATAAGAATACCTGGTATATCAGATGTATATAAAGGCTATAAGGATACCTGGTATATCAGATGTATATAAAGATTATAAGAATACCTGGTATATCAGATGTTTATAAATACTAAAAGAATACCTAGTATATCAGATGTATATAAATACTATAAGAATACCTGGTATATCAGATGTTTATAAATACTATAAGGATACCTGGTATATCAGATGTATATAAATACTAAAAGAATACCTAGTATATCAGATGTATATAAATACTATAAGAATACCTGGTATATCAGATGTATATAAATACTATAAGAATACCTGGTATATCAGATGTATATAAATACTAAAAGAATACCTAGTATATCAGATGTATATAAATACTATAAGAATACCTGGTATATCAGATGTTTATAAATACTATAAGGATACCTGGTATATCAGATGTATATAAATTCTATAAGAATACCTGATATATCAGATGTATATAAAGACTATAAGAATACCTGGTATATCAGATGTATATAAATACTATAAGAATACCTGGTATATCAGATGTATATAAATACTATAAGAATACCTGGTATATCAGATGTATATAAAGACTATAAGAATACCTGGTATATCAGATGTTTATAAATACTATAAGAATACCTGATATATCAGATGTATATAAATACTATAAGAATACCTGGTATATCAGATATATATAAAGACTATAAGAATACCTGGTATATCAGATGTATATAAATACTATAAGAATACCTGGTATATCAGATGTATATAAAGACTATAAGAATACCTGGTATATCAGATGTATATAAATACTATAAGAATACCTGGTATATCAGATGTATATAAATTCTATAAGAATACCTGATATATCAGATGTATATAAAGACTATACGAATACCTGGTATATCAGATGTATATAAATACTATAACAATACCTGGTATATCAGAAGTATATAAAGACTATAAGAATACCTGGTATATCAGATGTATATAAAGACTATAAGAATACCTGGTATATCAGATGTATATAAAGATTATAAGAATACCTGGTATATCAGATGTATATAAAGACTACAAGAATACCTGGTATATCAGATGTATATAAATACTATAAGATTACCTGGTATATCAGATGTTTATAAATACTATAAGAATACCTGGTATATCAGATGTATATAAATACTATAAGAATACCTGGTATATCAGAGGAATATAAATACTATAAGAATACCTGGTATATCAGATGTTTATAAATACTATAAGAATACCTGGTATCTCAGATGTTTCCAGACCAACTCTGGAGTCGGACTCTGTGATATTTCTACCCCGACCAGAACGCTCCGCAAGTTTACTGGGAATTAACCGTGATGGCTTCGTTTCTCCTCCCAATATCTGACCCGAACCTTCAAATATCTTCTTATTTCTCTTATCTGAAAATTTGATATCTCGTTTGTCAGAGACCTGAAAAACAATCAAAATGTCTTTAAACAAACTTATATATATATATGAGAATTGTGAAAAATATAAATGATGCATCCAAATAACATTGCTTTGGCCATCAGTATAGAATTTAAAAGAGAAGTTATCTGGTGGTCTAGGAGTTGTCTGGTAGTCTAGGAGTTATCTGGTAGTCTAGGAGTTATCTGGTAGTCTAGGAGATATCTGGTGGTCTAGGAGTTATCTGGTGGTCTAGGAGTTATCTGGTAGTCTCAATCAACTGGATAATTTGACGTTGATATACTCACAGCAAATGGGATGCCATCTGGATAACGGTGCTGTAATTCTGATGGAAAATATCCATCCATTAAATCCTGGATACACAGTTGAGTTTCCGGGTCAGAGAAGGGACGGAATGGACCCTGGTACAACATTATACCATTTCGGAACAAAGTCAGGGGAATAGCTTCTGGTATCTGGAACATTAAAAGAGAATTTCAAAAGTCAGAGTTTGAAACAAAGAAGGGGGATTGTTCTAGTTGTGAAGCAAAAGTACTGGTTTTATTGTACACAACGTTTCTACAATTTACATTGTCATCATCAGTTTATATAGTATACTACTCCTGCATTTTATTTTTTATTATAAGCAACGTTTCAACAACTTACATTGTCATTATCAGACTATATGATATACTACTCCTGAGTTTTATTGTACACAACGTTTCAACAATTTACATTGTCATTATCAGACTATATGATATACTACTCCTGAGTTTTATTGTACACAACGTTTCAACAATTTACATTGTCATCATCAGTTTATATGGTAATATACTACTCCTGAGTTTTATTGTACACAACGTTTCAACAATTTACATTGCTATTATCAGACTATATGATATACTACTCCTGAGTTTTATCGTACACAACGTTTCAACAATTTACATTGCTATCATCAGTCTATATGGTATATTACTCCTGAGTTTTATTGTACACAATGTTTCAACAATTTACATTGCTATCATCAGTTTATATGGTATACTACTCCTGAGTTTTATTGTACACAATGTTTCAACAATTTACATTGTTATAATCAGTCTATATGGTATACTACTCCTTAGTTTTATTGTACACAATGTTTCAACAATTTACATTGTTATAATCAGTCTATATGGTATACTACTCCTGAGTTTTATTGTACACAATGTTTCAACAATTTACATTGCTATCATCAGTCTATATGATATACTACTCCTGAGTTTTATTTGTACACAACGTTTCAACAATTTACATTGCTATCATCAGTTTATATGGTATACTACTCCTGAGTTTTATTGTACACAATGTTTCAACAATTTACATTGCTATCATCAGTTTATATGGTATACTACTCCTGAGTTTTATTTGTACACAACGTTTCAACAATTTACATTGCTATCATCAGTTTATATGGTATACTACTCCTGAGTTTTATTTGTACACAACGTTTCAACAATTGACATTGTCATCATCAGTTTATATGGTATACTACTCCTGAGTTTTATTGTACACAATGTTTCAACAATTTACATTGTTATAATCAGTCTATATGGTATACTACTCCTGAGTTTTATTGTACACAATGTTTCAACAATTTACATTGTTATAATCAGTCTATATGGTATACTACTCCTGAGTTTTATTGTACACAACGTTTCAACAATTTACATTGTCATCATCAGTTTATATGGTATACTACTCCTGAGTTTTATTGTACACAACGTTTCAACAATTTACATTGTCATCATCAGTTTATATGGTATACTACTCCTGAGTTTTATTATATGTAACTATTCAACAATTTACATTGCTATCATCAGTCTATATGGTATACTACTCCTGAGTTTTATTGTACACAACGTTCCAACAATTTACATTATCATTATCAGTTGAAACGAGGAAATATAATACAGGAAGGTATAATGCTATTTTACAGTCAATTAAATGGTTTAAACTACTAATAGGATAACTCTCTAAATTCTACAAACCTTTAATCTAGCACCATCTGTAGTTTTGGTAACCTTGGCAACACCTTCTCCCGCCAGAATATTTAAATCTTTAATATTTTCAATCAGTTGATCGTAGTCAAGGTGATGGGGTCGGATTGATGATACAGAGGAGCCTGAAAAATAAAACCAAATAAACTGATATATAATCAAATAATACAGAATTTAAAACTTGCAAATAGCAATTTGATTGGTATGGAAAAAATGTAAATTTATATGTATAAATGTACAGATACAAGTTCTGGAAAATCTCTTTGAATCCTATCCTATTCTCCTCTCACCCGCCTTCAGTATGCTTCACCTCTCCCTCTAATCCTTACCTGGTACTCCTACCCATCCCCTGACCCAAATACTTACCAGGTCTCCACATGCCTTCATCCTCAGTTTCCTCTTCTTCTTCTTCTTCTTCCTCTTCCAAATAAACTTCAGATTCTTCTGATGATTTCTCACCCATCCAAATCATTCCATAATCACTTAAAAATGTCTGAAAAATTTGACTAGAATAAAACCATGATCTCTGGGAACAGGCTCTTCTCAAGGTGCCCACTCTGCTTATCTTTATCTGCCCTCCAAGTCCCTCATGTCAAGGACTCCTTGACAAGGAGGAAGCTAAAAGAGGTTTTCTAGCAAGTTTATGAAGTCTTTATGATCAATACTATTTAACAGATATAATTTTTCCATTGTGAATCTTTGCTAAATTTCCCTCATTGCACACTGCATGGCATTAACTGTCTTCATTAGCAAAATAGGTGCAGACAAGAAGAACATAAAACTCCATTCATTAATTGATTTGCTATGGTGACATCATAATCAGATCAAGATACTTTACCTCCATTTCATGTATTTGCTGCTGAAGCAGAAGACATTTTTTCTCCAATTCTTTTACTTGACCAGGTTCATTGGACTCTGAAAATAAAAACATTAAACATTGGCCATCATCTTGTATAATAATCAGCATGAATGATAAAACAAAGCAATCTCTCTTTATTATTTTTACATTAATGAAATCAATCTCAAGCATTGATCTCGTTGAATAATATTTCTACCTGATTAGATTACTAAACATGAGCGATACCATAAAGAGAACATTCATGGTTTTTGATTTCAACCTGGAGAGAGGTCACATGACTAAATCTTATTTCTTACCACTAGCATTCTTCATGATTCTTATTTTATCTTCTAAAATACGCACTCTCTTGTCCTACAAACACAATTCATAAAATATACATTCTTCCATTAGGGCCATCTAAACTGTGGAGTTGTGGCCCTTTCTTTTAATATCTTTATCATTCCTTTAACACCAAGTTATATAACTTGAAGCGTATGATGTTAATATGTTAAAATTACTTGATAAGGTGGTTTGGGTATAATTATATAGCCAGTAAAGCTAGAGTTCCAAGGGTTTAAGTTAATGTATCAACCGATAAGTTACCTTTTCTGACATTTCTTTATTTTGAAACTGAACTCGTTGTTCCAACAGAGTTACTTTGTTCATCATTAAACTCATCAAATCATGATCTGTAGGACCTAGGAAGTGTATAAAATTAAAGACATAGTTTATTTTTTCCTTCATTCACAAAATATATAAATAGGTTTGGCAATGTAACTTTATACCACAATGTACAAAATAACGTGACAAAATTGAACAAAAATTTGCTGCACTCTTCTCCATGTAACATCTTCATAATACATAATATTATCAAAATACACTTCATTTAAGGGCTATCTTAAATAGGTTTTCTAAAATTTATACGTATATGTGTATTTGTACCACTGAAAGCTTTGATTTACACCAATCTAATTTCCAGTCAGATGTCTACAGTACAATGTATAATTCTTGCAATTCTATGAAAAGTTAGCGTTTTGTGACATCACTATTGCAAAGGCCCTTATTGTCAGCAGTTTACAAAATGCATAATTATAGTGTTATTGCAAGAACCACAGACATCTGATTGAATATTGGAATCGATGCCATCAGTGTCCCTGATACATATAATTTTAGAAAAACCTCTTTACAATCCCATTAAACAAATTTTAAAATCAAAGGAACCTCAGACATTTCAAATTAGAATGGTGTAATCAATGCTCTCAGTGTCCATGATACACATGAAAGATTAAAAAACATTTTTATAAACGATTTATCATATTTATATTGTGTAGTTTTCAACATGTTAATCAAATTCACTGTCTCACCTCCATACTGGTGTTATATATATATATATATGTCTTATAAACAGCATTTATATATACCTTTGAATTAACTATTTACCTGAACTGTGAGTCATGTGATTTAAACGTGACGAAGTATTTTTAGTAAGTTTAGGTAGACTAGGACTACCAGTGCTAGGTAAGGGGGATGGACCGTTACTTCCAGTGGTTGTAGAAATATTCTGAGCCTTTATTCTATTGGTAGCCATGTTGGTTGTTATTTCGTCCAATAATCTACTCTCATCATCGGTGTAGTTCGGCTGACGGAAAGGAACTGGTCTTTGACTAAAAAAAAAATACATGCTCTTTAATTTGGATCAAATTCTGCATTCTAAATAAATTTGGAGTTAGCTGGAACTAAACTTTGTGTACCAGTATATAGGAATAAGGCTACAGGCACCTTAAGTTTAAAACAAAAAAGAAACTGGGGCTAGTTGATATTGATTCAAGTTGATATCACAACATTAAGCATTAATATATCACAATATGGGTATATATCGCGATATTTTTTAAGTTTGTTTTTTACTGGTTTTTGAAACAAAATGATGATCTAGAAATTTTAAATATAACATAAAACAATAAATATCTCTAAAAACACCCCAGTCTTTAACATTATGAAAAAAACATCTGTATCAAATATTAAGTTACTTGTTAAAATTTGTAGATGATCTTATCTGGACCAAAATTTAACGATATCGTGATAACTACCATATATCACAATATGGAGATATTTCGGTATTTTTTAATCAGGCGATATTATTAACAATATAAATTCCTATACTGGTATTTATCTTGACACCGGTATATCACCCAGAACTAAAAGACACCAAATGGCATACTGAGGAAACAAAAGACATTATAAACCAACAAGATATATATACTTCTAGATAGATGTCTTCTAAATATTATTCTTAATTTGGAGGATTTTTTTCTACACTAACAGACTACAGGTTGATAGTATCCTAAGCTTATTTTAGACGATGATGAATTCTCATAAAACATTGACTCAGGTCAATAGTAAAGATGAATTTTTTCTGCGAAAGATTTCTCATGAAAAGTTTTAATAATGTATTTTTTTTTCACAAATAAGCTTACTGGTACCTTTTTCTAATAAGTTAATAAATATTCAATATCAAGATTTTTAGTTACAGGTATATTGTCTAATAAGGGCCAGAAAAGAAGACAAACCAATACATGAGTACACAGAATATCATCTTTATGCCCATGGGTAAACCCTTTGTAATCACAATAATTTGTTAATATTATATAGCGTTTATAGGCTTCAAAAAGAGAATGAAAACCTACCCTACATTATCCAGACTCAAGCCAGTTCCGACAAACATTCTGGATTTTGGTCCTTTCTTTAAACTATGTAGAGGGGAACTCATTCTTTTCTGGTTCAAACCATATCTTTACTTAGGCTGAATAAAGCTTGGATAGTTTGTTCAAGTGATTTGCATGGCTTGACAACACAAATAAATTATTTTGGGGAAAACACAACCATAAAATTGAAACGTATTCAAAAGATACTCATATAAAATACCCAGAAATGTTTCAAAATTGTCTGTACTCAAATTGAAAATAAAACTGTGGAAAAATAGATAATCTTAGAGCTGAAAACCACCAATTTGAGCGTGAAAACTTTATTTGTTTACATCTTAGACCTCCATCTTGGATTACGGGACCTTGACATGGCCTTTACCTTTTGACATATCACAAACCGGAAGTTATGGCTTCTTGAGAAATGGAGAGAAAATATTTGTTGGAGAAAAATATGAAAATGTCGATAATTTACGGATAAGAAGATGACAGATTTGTAGCAGACGGCAACAATCATAACATGGAGTCACCACAAAGCTTCGTAGAGGAAATTAACATCACAGAAATCGAGTTTTATGAGGTAATATTGTCAATAATTAAAGGCTTCTTCTTGTTATTTATTGTGGAATTCCCCCTCCCACCATCAAAACATAGGCATTGAATTCTAAGGCTTGGCGATATTGAATGAAGTTGATATCACGATATTATTATACTTAAGTATGGTTTTTACTGATTTTTGATACAAAATGTTGTTGTTTTTCTATTTAAAATTTAAATGACAGAAAAAAATAATATGTCTTTAAAACACCTCAGTCTTGAATATCATAAAGAAACCATCTGTTTCAAATATTAAGTTACTTGTTTAAATTGTGTAAATGATCTATCACAATATGGTGATATTTCGATATTTTTTAATCAGGCGAAATTACTAATGATATAAATTCCTATACCAGTATATATCGTGATATCAGTATATCGCCTAACCCTAAACCATTCCATATTTTATTATTACCTTCTTTGCTAAGGTATTGATTTTATGAAATGAAAGTTTTACATCCTACTTGGCTGGGCTCTCTTGACTACTCTGTAGACATACAGTGTACAGGCCTGTGGGTCTACAATGCCAATTGGGAACATTTTAATAAGACAGCCGCATTAGCCTTCCTTTTTAATCATCAGCTAGCTAGTTTTAAAAAGCCTAGTGAAACAAGTTTTTTTGCATATGGTCCCATTTGATAGCCCCTCCAACCTGCATTTGACGAGGCTGTGTTATAAAAATCATGTTGTAAGGTTTCATCTTGAAGAATTTATTTGGAGACACCCAGGTTATCAAGCCTTTAATCAGTGAGCTAACATGACTTCAAAACACAAGCAAGCTTACAAACAATCAACCATCATGGAATCCAAGCAAAAAATAGTTTGAATTACATTCTTAAGTCCCAGAATGTTACAAAAACAATTGTGTTTTTCCGACTATCAGTTATTTGGGTTTTTTAGGTTGTGGGTAAAGGAGCGTTTGGAGTAGTTAGTCGTGGAAAATGGAGAGATAAAGATGTTGCCGTCAAAAATATAGAAACAGAATCTGAACGGAAAGCGTTTATAACAGAACTAAAACAACTGTCTCGAGTCAGTCATCCTAACATTGTTAAACTTTACGGTGCCTGTACACAACATCCAGTATGTATAATATCACAAACATGACCTTACTAAATTGTCAAAATAGATCAGGACTAATTTGGTTTCATAAAGCCCAGTAAACACTGGAGGAACAAAATTGTTCTTTTTCTTGTATGATAAAATAAAATATTTCGGTAATTTTTTAATTCCAATTTATAATTTCATAATTTTTGTAGAAGAATGGGTATGCTCTTTAATGTAAATTTTGTGGGGTTGATTGAACAGAATTGGTTCAGTGATTGTCATCTGTTGCAATTTTATATTGAAATATTCTATAAATAATTTCATTGCTAAGACTGTTTTAAAAATGGCTCCATATATATTTGATGAGTGTATTTCTTGATATGATCCTGTAGATTACCATGGAGAAGAAAATGACAGAAAAAGAAAGAATCTAATTTGAATTAGATTGCCAACTTTCCAACACTGCCACTAAATAGATATTATTTAATATTATAGGTATGTCTGGTGATGGAATATGCTGAAGGTGGCTCCCTCTATAACGGTAAGTTCTACTGTGCAATTGTGTGTTTTTATTGGCCCCTTAAGAGAATTTATGTGGGGATGAAAGATCATTGATTCCTACCTTTCTATCTTTTTCTCTAGTTTACAAAATATTTTATTGTTTTTTGTTATTATACCATGCTTATAAGATGTATTACTATACATGTAAGCTTAATATAGGAGATAAAGATTGGCTGTACAACCAGTTATCCCTGATTATCAGTTATCTAAACTTGGACACCCCCACTTCTTTCTTTGTTATACATGTAAGCTTAGTTGTTATTTACCCACTTATTATCAAAATATTATGGGTTAGTCCCTCTGAAATCTTTTACTACTACCATTTTTGACAATGATGGTTCCCAGTATATAATATAACGAGAAGATATGAGAATCGCAATGTGAGATAGTACTAGTTACTGTCAATTCCATTGTCATCTATTTCAGTTTTACATGGAACTCAATATCAACCTCAATATACAGCAGCCCATGCTATGAGTTGGGCTCTACAGTGTGCACGAGGTGTGGAATATTTACATGGTATGAGTCCTAAAGCTTTAATACACAGAGATCTGAAACCACCCAAGTATGTACTGTTTAGTTGCATTTCATTACTATTCAATTATGAGTGAAGATGACTTATTCAAGATCATCAGACTTTCACACGCCGATCGATATCGGAATCCACAGCCACCATATACTCGACGAATCATGCAAATGACATCATGTAAAGAACTAACCGAGCACGAGACACCTGCCAAAATGAAATTGTGCCAGGCGTCAAATAAGCTTACTTATATGATATTGTGTATTTTTGTAGTTTATTATTAATAATGGGAGGAACAGTCTTAAAGATCTGTGATTTTGGTACAGCTTGTGATATACAGACTCACATGACAAATAATAAAGGCAGTGCAGCTTGGATGGCACCAGAAGTCTTTGAAGGTAAGCCAAGATTTTGTTTGTTTGTCTCAATGACTAGGATTCAATTTAGATTGAATAATTTGATCAACAATTTATCACACTAAATTTCACTTCTGGCTAATCAACTTGATTTTGATTTGCATTTCTTTAAATTTCCGTATCATTTATAGAATGTACCAGCACTAAACTTTCAAATAAACAATTTGATTTGATTCGCAGATCGTCATGATTAATTTTGATTTTGGTTAATCTCAAAAGGGGTCATTTTGTATCTCAAACTGAGATGCTCAAATTGAATCCTGTCAATGATTAATTTACAACATGACTTAGTGGCAGTTCCAACTACTGAGGAGAAGAATAGACAGATGAATATCTTCAATAGAATTTTATTGACAAAGTTTTCTCACAACCTTGTGCCAGAGTTCTGATTATTTATATTCTGAGTAGAAATCATAGGAAGCGACGCGATACCCCTCTCTTCATGATCAAATTTTTTGTAAAACTTAGGGAAGGTTTTCTTGTTTTAATGACATCATGAAAAAGTAGACCTATCGTGCTCTCACACCATAGCGATTACCAGTTGTGTATGGTTGCAAATAACGGAAGTGGTCATGGGTACAAAACGCAACTCATAATTCAGTTTCATGAGAATTTTGTCCGAAACATATGACAGTATATATAGGGTGATCCAAAGTTCGACCTGTAATATCTCAACTGTTGGTAAACTGATCTCTTTCAAAATTCTCACAATATACTTTAAGATGTTGTTGTCTAACCCTGAAAGTCATCAAATAAAAATTGTACACATACTGTGTTCAATGTGCCCTCCATCTTCCTTGTTCAACAATCGCCTGTGCCTGAGGACGTCTATATATTGTACTTACAATTGCTAAATGGCATTTAAAGACTTTAATATATAATATTCTTATTTACAACCTTACGCAACTGTTGATGGCTATGGTGTGATGGCCATTTAAACAATTTTGATAACATTGGGAAAAGTTCCCTTGTTTTACCAAGGATTTTTGTATTTCTAGGTAGTAATTACAGTGAGAAATGTGATGTATTTAGTTGGGGTATTATACTATGGGAAGTAATAACTCGAAGAAAACCGTTTGATGAAATTGGGGGACCAGCTTTTAGAATTATGTGGGCTGTACATCAAGGTAGGTCTAGTCTAGCGGAAATGTTTTTGGAGTCAATTCAACTTCAATTAGAGCAGTCTTTTTTATTTTAAATAGATATAGACCAAACAATTAAACATTTATTTTCCCTAGCCCTAGTGGACAGTGACAGTGGAATAGCTCAGTCGGTAGCAAGTTTGATTGTCGTCTGCTCGGGCGATTAGGTGCTGTGGGTTAGAATCCTCCGTGAGGTAATAAAAGTCCTGTTGCCTGTGCCAGTGCTTGGTTATAGATAAATAAGATAATTATTAGGGATATATACTTCTAGAATATTTATTACTTTCAATGTTTCAATGTTATTCTCACACCTCAACAAAGAATATGATAAATTCATTTAAAAGTTCATATTGTTTGTAAAAAAAAGTTTACTTTTTAATAAATGAGTATTCAAACTATAGTTCCATCCATTTTAATCCAGACTCATAAATTTATATTTTATTGTCAGGAAAACGTCCTCCATTGATTAAGAACTTACCCAAACCACTGGAACTGTTGATGACCAGGTATTATGTTTTATGTAATATAGATATGATAGTCATATATTGTGTTTATATTTCAATAAAGGACAATTAACCCACATCCTGTATGTTGCATGCAAATCCCATTGATTCTCCCCAACCGATAGTACTAAAAATAAAAAGCATGCTAAGTTCCATCATTGCAAATAGCAAAAAAGTTTCGTTTTTTCACAACAAAAATTAGTAAATCTGAATGTTTGAGATATTAGTGTCTTACTGATTTTTGTTGAAAATTTCTTTATTTCAAAAGTACTTATTGTTAAATCTTTATTTTAGATCCTGGTCATCTAATCCTGTAGAGAGACCTTCAATGACAGAAATAGTAAGAATAATGTCTCATTTATTCCAGGTAAGATAACTTCCATACTCTTTCCAATATTAATAACATATGATATTTACCTAGCATTGCTTGAGGTTTAAAGATGGGTTCCCTTATTTTTATTTATGGAATTAAAAATGCTATTACTTATATGAATAGAAAGTAGATGTGTTCTAATGACTTGGATAAATACCAGTTTGTCTCTCATGTCCATAATTAAGTCATAATTTGCTAAATGATAAGAGAATTATTGCAGAATTCCAATGAGTGACCAATCAAGAATGGTCAAAAACTCTTTTTGTTTATCCAGACTGTACATACATGTACATTTATGATTGATTAAAACTCTTAATTATATGCAATAAGAACATAATGATATGAATAAATATACATGATAATTCATTAGAAACACCAATTAGTCAATTAGTTTGCTTAATTTGACACTAAAAAATAAGGAAAACCATGTTTAAACTTATGTCACATAATTTGATTTATAAAAGCGATGTAAAAACTTAAAAGAAATAAAAATGAAAAAAGGCTTGATCATGAAATAATCCACTAGAAATAAACAAAATGAAATATTTAAAGCTGTATTTTTTATCATACAATGAATTAACAAACTCAATAGAAATACAAAAATATGGAAAAAACAGTTTAGCCACAGAATAAATGTACCAGACTGTATTATTTTTCTCTCTGCAGTTTTTTGAAGGAGCTGAGAAGCCGTTGTCTTACAAAGAAAACCATGACCATTCTGATGCTAGTAAGATATTTTAATTTAACTTTACCTGAGTATTTTATAACTTTTATATTTTCTTGTATACAATCTTAGCATCTTTCTAGCAAATCTCTAAATGTACAGAAAAAGAAATATAAAATATTAGAATTAGTAAAATCTTTGATGAATATGAAAAAAGTATTTGAAAGAAAAAATTGGCTGCAAATTCATATCCCTACTAATATACTACTGAGGATAAATTCACCAAATATACCATGTATATCAATTATTTTAAAGTATTTTGCCCTTTTCATTTATTTTTTCACCTGTTGATGACAATGTAAATTGTAGAAACAATGCATATGATAAACTCAGGATAGTATACTATATAAACTGATAATGACAATGTAAATTGTTGAAACATGGTGTACAGGACTAGTATAGTATACCATATAAACTGATAATGACAATGTAAATTGTTGAAACATGGTGTACAGGACTAGTATAGTATACCATAAAATTGTTAATCAGTTATTTAATGTGATCTCTACCTCTAAATTTCATTAAGGATTATTGTTTTTAATTAAAGGTAGCAGATCTCCTCATTTTACCCAGTCGACAGTGTCAGGTTCCTCTACCCATACAGTCAGCCCACCTCCCTCACACGGTGGTACGATCTCTGATACAGTACGTCAAGGTCTAGAGAGGGGGATACCAGTTCATGTATCACATCAGACAACCAATAGATCAACACCTGTAGTTGTCGAGGTACTGTATTTTCCGTTTTAATTTTGCCTGATATTTTATCATTTTTACTGATAGAGTACATGTTATTTAATTTTCAGATCAGGGCAATAGCTAGCTAAAGCTCCTAAGTGGGGGAAGGAGGGGGGAGGGGGAGGGCTGAAAATTTTACCGGGTGTTCAACTATTTTACTCGACAGGTCAATCATGGCTAAGCATACATTTGTTTAATGCACTTTTATCAGAAGGTTTATGTCATTTGTCAAAATTTTTCACAGGGTGAAATATTTCTTGGAGGGGACCAATTTAGATTCAAAGTTTCTACAAAAATTAAACTCAGAAGATATTACATACATGAAAGAGTCGCAGCACAGCCACACCATATGATTTATCACTTGAATATAATTCATATAACTAGTTCTAATACTGTAAGCTTTACAAACATTGTGTTGGATATAAAAATCTTAGACGTAAATAAACTTTACAGGGAAAAGTTTTCTATTATAAAGATCTTTGAAATGAAAAGATTATGTTTCTGCAATGTAACATAATGTTATACAGTCAAACTTGTACGAACAGTCACCCATCCAATCAAATTAAGTCATTAGCACGTGAATTAGCCCAGGGTTAAAAGACAAAACACAAAAGCACCTTATAGTACAACTGCAGGGAAACACTAAAATTGTCCCAATGAATTATTGGTGTGTATTTTAGATTTGTTTTTTGCAGCATATTTTTGAATTTTGATTGATGTTGTTTTTATTTTGCTGTGTATTGTTATATTGAAACTTCAGTTATCTAGTTCAAACTCAGGTTTTTTTAAAAAGGGTGTAGTACAAATTGATAAAGATAATACAGAGATTGGGGAGTGAGATTCTAAATACTGTTGAACATTGAGAACTGAATAGAAGGGATACAGATGTTATGAGGCTAGGAAAATACAGATGGGAAATATGGATCAATGTTTTGTGCTGACATAGTCAAATAGCTCGACCACTTTTTTTCCACCTGTCGAGGACTCTTTAACTTACACTGCGTGTTACATTGATTATTTCTCCAATCCTAATGACTAGATGTGTTTCATGTGAGCCCAACTGAACCGCAATACTGTCAAGGGGAAACCGGGTTGAAAAATCTGGGAATTTGTCTCAACCTATGCGAAGGAGTTTCAGATAAAAGAGCAAGCTTCAAACTTGCCCACTCTTTTCCCATAACAGAACTTGAAGTCAAACCCTAGATCTTCAGGTTAGCGAGTAAACATCTAACTCTCCATAACAGAACTAGCTGATTGAGGTGTTCAGATGTGCCAAGTTATTTTATATTAAGTTTTAGCCTAGTTGATGTTGTTTGTATATTTTTGTTTATTTATTTTTATTTGTATCAGAGGGGACAGCAGTTAGTTGTGCCAACAATCGTAGTTGAGGTAATGAAAAAAAACAGTCTGGCTCACTGGATTCATAGTTTTCATTTTAGATTGAATTTTATGATTGTATATTCTTCAGTACACTAAATATACAACTTCCTTTACAAACTATTGGTTTATGTTTAGCAAGCGTTGATTGCCAATTTTTTTTTTGACAAAATTGAGTATTCCAGCCAATTATTTATCTAATTTTATTCAAAGAAATATTTTATTTGTGAAAAACTAAGGATAATTTTCCCACTATGAAAACTTACAAACAAAACGTGAGCTTGACTTTTGATCTTTTCTACATGGCTTCCTTTCGTCTAGAAACAACAACTTAGATTCTGTTTATATCTGGGATATATCTTGGAAAATGAGCACATTTATTTTGGGTGAAAAAGGGAATTTCAAAATGTAGTCAAAATTTTATATTTTTCATAAATATCTTTTTCTTGGTAGAAATACTTTTTAGTTTTTTAATCAAAAGAAATGCACTTGTCATTAATGCACCTTTTAGAATTTTGACTTTTCACATTTAAAAATGGTACTTACCCTTGCAGTAGAAAGTTTGTAGACATTTGAATTAAAGCATAAAGAACCCATGTAATAAAAGATACCTTAAAGCTATCATGAAGTTATGAAGAAAGTACTAGATAAAGAAGGGTTATTTTTACCTAAAGTCAGTCAAATAATCCCTGCAACATGTAGACAAATTAGATATAACACAATAGTTTAACAATGTCTTTATTAATTAAACATATACTACCTCTTAGTATGACCAAAGATTTAAATTACCAGTATAAAACTTGGCCAAAATGAGTCTTAGTTTATCAGTGGAATTACCTGGTGTCATAACTATACAACAGAATTCCCTTATAATCCAATAAACTTAAGATTCTATTCTTTAGTCATGCCATCTGGTAAGTCTAACTGATGAATATATACTCTTATTGACCAAGTTTGAGATTTTATATTGTATGTCCATTCTAAGAGGTAGTATCCTTTTAATGATTTAAAGCAGTAGCTCTAGTGATCAGACTTTTCTTTTAAACTTTATGTTAGCTTTAAAGATGATGCCAATCTTTTGTATATTCTATTGTAAGTTGACCTTATCTTCAGCTTTTCAAAAAATGAAGCCAATAATCCCTACTAGGTTTTGCCAATACCATTTTTTTTTCTCGACTATTTGAGATCTTTGTTGAAGAATTAAGAGATACAAATTTATATGATTTTTGAAATGGTGACATCATTAAAACTTTTGAAAAGGTTCTTGGATGTCACAAAGTCAGAATTTCAAGGCTTTAAATTCTAATTTTGGTTATTCTTCATTTCCAATAAAGTTGTCCTGTTTAGGATTGTTTATCCAAAACACATGTCAGCAGCATAGTCAATTACACCACAATACTTTCTGTTTGTTGGTGTCATGAATCCAGTTTTAAAGGGACAGGTACACCATTTTTTGTACCTTCTTTCATTTCTAGTATTTTGGAAGTCTAATTACATATAGAATTAGGGTGACGAGTGACGGTAGGGAAGCTAAATGAATTTATTTATGCCTAGTGGTGCCATAGTTTTGAGCTTGTGGATCCAATGTAGTTTCACTTTTGCCTCGTTGCCCTAGAAGGGTTCCAACCAGAACAAACCGGTCTGGCCACATACCTAAGAAAGGGTATTTTCAGGAAATCATTTCTTTCCTAAAATAATTCTATGTACATATATTCAATAGTCCCCCCCAAAATGGTGCACTTGTCCCTTTAAAGAGGAGAATTGCCTGATGTACCAGTATGATAGATATCAATACTTTTGAAAGCTAAAGATAAGGTCTACTTTCTTTTAGAATATACAAAGGGAATTGGTCTGAACTGTGTCATGTATGATGTATTTAGCGCCTTCCATTCTAATTCTAATCTGAAATCATACAATCTTATGTCTTGTGGTTGATGATAAATGTACTCCGCTTAAATACTGAAAATAAGACGTAAAATTTTAGAAAATTTAGAGCCTGTTTATACCTTAACTAATTGTTTCAGTGAAATCTGGAGACTGTCATCTGATAGTTTACAATTCTCGTATCTTTAAAGATTTCATAGGTCAAAAACACCATTGCATTCAACCAATCAGATTTCTTAGTTTTATCTCCAAGGTACAATATTTCTGGTGTCAGACTCATGGGCTGAATGTTCTGATTGATAGACAGGATTATGTCACTGCAGTGTAATAAAACTAATTCTGACCCATGTATTAATATTTCAGAATGGTCTGACATGTCTGATTCGAAATTCAAAATTTACCGATTTTATTTTGTAAGTTTATGATCTACTTAAAGACTAGTAGGGCAAGAAACATTTCTCATCAACTACAGGCATCATGATAAATATTATATTTATGTTGTTCTGTTGCTTTTGTGTCTAATTGTTCTTTGGTTAGTAGTTTATGTTGTGTTATATAGTCTGTCTATAGCTCTCTACTGGGAACTGTCTTCATTAGCCAATCAGGTACAGAAAAGTCGGATGGAAAACGCCGTTTCATTTTAACTGGAAAGGATAAGCAAACTATGTAAGATTGTTGAAGGAGTCTCTGGAATATTGCAACACGATATAATAGAAGTTATTGGCCTTACACCGAGAGAAAACAAAGGACAAAGTCAAAAGTTACTTCATGGTTTACTGGCACCATGGCAAATGGGTTTAAAATCTGAACCCATGATGGATCACAGTATCATTTTATGTTTAATGTATACTAGCTTAGATTATAGAAAAATGCCTTCTGTCTTAATAATGTACAGAGGTTTAGCCTGGATGAGAGTTGAAATTTTTGTGCAAAACTTAGTGATATTTTTCAATCCATGATCTGATGAACTTCTTATGCACCTTGTGTTCTGGGTCATTAATTTTTAACCAATCAATGATCT